ACTGCATATCTGAAGGCACACACAACATCATTTATTTCACTTACTGTTCTGGTTTTTTTTTTTGTCTTTTTCCGTGTCCGGCAACGGATCGCAACCCTCAGTGTTGCCCCCGTACCGGACCGGGGACCGGCAACGGGATTGCAACCCTTGGCGTTGCTCCCGCGCCTCGCTCAGCCAGTGAGCGGGAACCGGTCCGTATGTGGGATCCGAACCCTCGGGCGGGAGCGCCGCCGCGCTTCCCAAGCGGGGCACTATCCAGTGCGCCATCGGGCTGGCCCTGTTCTGGTTTTTATATCCCTCTTCATTTATGGCCCCAAGAATTCCCCTTACTCTCTTAACTATGCATTTAAAAGAATGTTATATTTTAATTACTGTTTTTTGATAAGCTTGAGAGTTGTTTTTTATTATTTAGCTTACAGTATTGCCAGAGCTAGAAAATAGTGTCTGTGCTTCTGTTTTCTGTCCTCTCCAGTCTGTCATCTCCATTACAAGAGCAATTTTTCTAAAATGCCATTCTGTTCATGTGACATTTCTGCTTTCAAGAGCTCCCTGTTTCCTCGGAATGCAGCCCAGGTTCAGCCTGTGGTGGGAGGTCCCCTGTGACCTTGCCCTGCCGGTTTCCTCTGCCTCATCTTCTGTTGGGTGTTCTGCTCACACGTCATGCTCCAGCAGAGCCACATGTTTGTACCCCTCAAAGGGCCTGCTGTTTCACACCGTAGGTCTTTTGTTCACCTCTCCTAACACAGCTCCACCTCCTGTCTGTGAAGCAACATCTGCTTATCCTTCCAAACAGCTCTCAGGTCCTGTCCTCTTTGAAGCCTTTACTGAGCCTCTCCTATTTTGCACCTCTTCAGGACCCTGTGTAAAATTTGGCCATAACATTCATAGTACTTTATTGCTTATATGTCTGTCTCCTTCCAAGAAAGAACTTACTTTTATTTTGTTTCTTTGTTAGCCTCTGGAACCCCACCACCTAGTTCAGGGACTGACACCTGGGGGCACTGAGGCTGGGACTTCTCCTTTATCTCATGAGACATCCTTGGGCAGCTCAGGGCACACAGCCTGGCTCCAGGAATTAGAGGATCTCTGAATCGGGGTAGATATAGTGTCTGTCTTCAGAGAGCTGTCGAAGTAGTTCTGAGGCTGCAGGTTCCAGATGAGCTGAACCTTCACGGACTCATCCTGCTCAGTCGCAGTGCCGGCGAGCTTCCCTTTTTCTGAAAAGTCAGTGTGTGGTGGTTGTGAAGCTGAGAGCCAGAGGACCGTGCTTGTGCCTTTCCTCATCTCGTGTTCACCCAGGGAGCGCCTGTGGGGCCCACACAGCCCTACAACAGTTCTCTTTAGACCTGTTCTCTGTTCCTGCTCTGAAGATGAAAGAGGGCAGTGACAAAGAACAGAATGGATCAGTACGAGGAAAGGCTAGCCCTGCCACACTGAGCCTCCTTTCCTGCTGGGCTGACTAGGGAGGGGCATCTCTCCCTTCCTCCTTGGCTATCTACCACCTTTGAGTTCCTGGAGGACAGGAATGTTAGGTCAAAGGAACCTTACCCAGTGCCCAGCACTTAACAGGTGCTTAGGGAAATATTGTTTGGATTGAAACCTGCTTCATTTATCGCTGTCTCCTTGGGTGCCTAAGAGCTGCTGCTGTCTTGAGTTTGTGAGGAGGAGAGTTGGGAGCACGGTGAGAGCACTGGGCTGAGTCGGAAGTCTAGATCTCACTGTGCCCTTAACTAGCTGCATGTCTTGGAGTAAGCTGCTTTACCTCTCTGTCTCTCAGTTTCCAGGTATCGTATGTAAGGCATCCAGCATAGACCCCAGGTGCTTATGAGGTGCTCAGTGACTATTTCTTTCCTTTTCTAGATCCTTGTGGGATGTTTTTACTCACTTTGTATATGAGAAAGTCTTTTTGTCTTTTTTCTCATCCTTGTCACATCTTTGTCAAGCCTGTCCTCATGAAGGCACCTATGAGAGGAGGGCCTAGGCCTGACAGGTGAATCAGACAGCAGGAGGGAGCATGTGTGAGTGGGCCGGGGGGGGGCATGGGGTGGCTCTGTCTCTCAGTTTCCAGGTATCGTATGTAAGGCATCCAGCATAGACCCCAGGTGCTTATGAGGTGCTCAGTGACTATTTCTTTCCTTTTCTAGATCCTTGTGGGATGTTTTTACTCACTTTGTATATGAGAAAGTCTTTTTGTCTTTTTTCTCATCCTTGTCACATCTTTGTCAAGCCTGTCCTCATGAAGGCACCTATGAGAGGAGGGCCTAGGCCTGACAGGTGAATCAGACAGCAGGAGGGAGCATGTGTGAGTGGGCCGGGGGGGGGGCATGGGGTGGTTGTGGAGACAGGTTCTTCAGTGTTCTCGTAGGAGTCCAGTCCTTTGCCTTCATCAGCTGCTTTTGCTTCTTCAACTGCTTCATTACCTTGAGCAGGAGTCTTGGGCCAGCTTCCGTGTTAGCTGCTGGCTGGTGTTTTCCTTGGGGAGACTGGCTGTAGTCACTCCCATTGGCAGTTGGCAGCTCCCCAGTTGGCTTTGTTACCTGGACTGACTCAGCCCTGACACCTGCCGGACCTGCTGTGATGCTCATGCATGAGTGGAGGCTGTACCACTGCTTTCTCCTGCCTTGCCCTGTGTGGATAGGCCTTGGCACAGGCTGGCATAGCTGAGTCTCTCACACTGCGAGGCCTGTGGAGACTAGCTCTAAGAACCAGTGCTCCTAATCATAGCAGCTTTTGCTCCCTGGCCCTTACCAAAGTGCAAACTGTAGGGGAGCAGAGCTCACATGAGGCCTCGGGAAGGGATCCAGCCCAGATAGCAGCCACTGGTGGCCCATGCCATGAGAAAATGTTCCCTGGGAGGCTAAGACACGAGCTACATGGAATTATGACACCAACTACCTTTAACTGAGTGTACACCCTGCACCTTTACACACAACAACCATTAAGGTAAACTGGGTCCTTTTTTTACAGTAGTCTGAGGCTCTGACAGGGTAAGTCCCCAGGTCGAGATCACACAGCTGTGAGTGAAGTGGCAGAGCTAGGACCGCAGGCCCTCCTGCTTGCACCTGCTGTGCCTTGCATGATGATTGCACATAGAACTTTTCAGAAGTTGTGTGTTTCAGGGGCAGGTGGAAATAGCGCAGGTGGTGAGTTCTAAATTCCACATATACCATGGATTGGTTGTACAGACTGACCTCCAAGAGGCTGGAGAAAGTGGGTTTGGCTGAAACTGACCCAATAAGAGGCAGATTTAGGGGCAAAGCCTGGCCAGCTAACTGCTGCGGTTCTCCACACCCACTCCCTCAGGCTGTGTGCTGTTGTCTAGGGAGATGAGCCCAGCAGCAACAGCTTTGAGGGTAATGAAATCAGGACAGGGAACAGCAGCCTGAGGGATGTGAAGAGGGAGGAAAGGGCGGGCAAGCTTCCTGCATGCCTTAGATGGGGCTGGGAATGGGATGTCCGCATTATACATGAGCCTCAGATCTTTTTCTGAGCCCCAACTGCTCTAGTAATTTTCTTCTGCCCTAAGCCCCTAAAAGAATCATGGAGTGGCTGCCCAGATATCCAGCCCCAGTTATGCCCCAGTCCATGGGTAAGTGAGTGTGAGCTCCTGAGCTTGCTGATGCAGGGCTCTGTCTACTGTGGGGTTGTAATATTCACCATCATACTCTTTGGGCCTTTGTTTTTATCAAGTTTCCCATACCTCTAAATGTCCCCTTACTTTCCTCTCTGCTAGGTATATCTTGTTATTTCCATTTCCTCCTTTAAAAACCTTTGAGAATACCAAAAGCCTCCTTGGCCGGGGCCACTTGACCCACCCCTTTACCTATTCTCTCTTCTCAAGCAGTTGTAGTCAGGGAGCTTCCCCATCCATTGGAAACTGGGACCTCCCCCAGGGCGGCTCACTGAACCCAGTGGATTTGAACTACGTATCTGGGCTGCTGTTCTTGATCCTTTTTATCAGTATGGCCTGACTCCTCCATTAGTTTTAAAGTGCCTTAAGGAAAGGCAAGACGGCCCCTCGGGAAGGAGTGCAGAGGCGAAGGTGCCCTGCTGCCTGCCATAGAAGCCTGAATCTGTCGCCTGAGCCCTGTCCTTGGAGGCGTGGTCTGCACTGAGACCCTCCGGTCTCTAACTCCAGGGGGTCGGCCGGGGGGACTCCGGAGCGACTTCTTCGGGAATCCTGTGCTCTGCTAAAGTCCCAGCACCGATCCCCGTCCCCCGCCAGCCTGCGGCGTCGCTCCTCCTTCTGGCAGCCACCGGACCCTCCCTTCTCATCCTGCGGGCCCAACTCTGATGCCTGGGAACCCCTCTCCCCTCTCTTCCTGCCGATCCAGCGCACCAGGCTTTCTCCTTCTCTGGCGCTCCGCCTCTCTCTGGAATCCAGTCCTGGTTTCCGCGCCGTCAGTCCCCCTCCTCGGGCTGGGCTCGCCTTCGCCCCCGCCCCCGCCTCGCCCGCCGTCATCGCGGCCGCTCGGTTCCGCGCCCACCTCTGCTCCCGGCCTCCCGGAGCTCGGCTCTCCCGGTCCGGTGGCTCCAGTCCGGATCTCGCCGCTGCCCGACTCGGGTACGA